CATTCATTAGTCTAGGGCCTTGTTTAGATAGCTGTTAGGAATCAGTATTTGACACTGTAGCACTTTCGTTTGTATTTGACAATTATTGTCCAATCATGGCCTAACTAGGCTCAAAGATTCGTCTTATAATTTACAATCAAACTGTGCAATTAGTTATTTTTTTATCTACATTTAATACTCCATGCATGTGTCCAAAGATTTGATGTGATGGAGAGAGAGTGAAAAAACTTGGAATCTAAACAAGGCCTAGTATTTATTGTTACGGTCAAATGTTATTCAGGCGGAGTCCCAAATATTTTTCCCACCAAAAAGATCAGTAACAATGTTGCATTGTTTAATCAGCTGATAGCATGCTAATTCCACTTAACATTACAGTGTGCACATCTTTTAGATAGTAGTGGTCAACGCCTTCTGTTCGTCTTTCTCCTTACAGTTTACATGGGCATGTGAATGTTATTAGTTATCTCGGTTCACTTCCTTACAAAAATTTGCCATTACTTAATGGAAGCAAGGGGCTTCAATCTTCTATGCTCTTTCGGTAGCTAATTTAAATGTGTTGTGTTTATTTGCTTATCCGATTATATTAGAGGAACATTACAGTATGCAGACTATTCTGAATTGTTTTGCCCACTGTAATGTGAGTTACTAGCTTGCTAATGTTATATACCAAAACTGTCATTTGGAACTTCAAATCTTTCTTGAAACAAATTTGGAACTTCAAATCCATGCAGTGTTGTCTTGCGAAATTGCCACCATTGCATAAAATGTTGATTCTTCATGTATATCTATTGAATGTCTCTTTCATTGATAAACTCCGATTCCCTAACCATCTCTTTATGAATAGTAGTTCTGTGGATGCACAAACTGAACAGCATTTAACAAGTCATACTGTCTTTTAAAAAAAACACACAGTGGAGCTATTACAAGTTATCCACATAGGCAATAATGTTGTTCTCATATCTATTATATTCTGTTAACTGAATAAGGCACAAAAATATATGCATCCTTGTGACTTCTCTGCTTGCATGAAAAAAATACACTCTTTTACTTCTGATCTGATACACCATTTTCTTCCCTATGGAAAAATGGAAAAATGCATCGCTCACTGCTTATGACCTAAAGCTCTAGACCCATCGATATTGAAATTTCCTTGTCTTTGAATAAACACGTCTCAATAATTGCTCAGCTTATTAATCTTTGTTGAGTTCATCAGACATCACTCAAATGATGGTTGTTTCTTTTTCAAATATCATATGATCACCTCGTTACTGCAAAATCACTTTGATACAAAGTGAATAACTGATTAGTATCTGCATGATTACTAAACTCTCAAAACAAAAGGCCAAAATAATGTAAGAACTCTGCAATTGATGGTTGTCACTACCTTTCAATCAGTTCCATGTGCTATTGTGTTGTCGCTCACCGGATGGAAGACAGGAGCATTATCAGGAGGACCTCCACAAGAAAGTCATAGTCTTATTCTTATATCAATTAATTCGGAAACGGAGGTCATGAACAGTGAATATACGATATACATACCCTTTGGGATAAGAACCATTCTTTATCACTGTGTCCTGTATATATCGGTATATATTTGCTGAGACCAACCTGGCACTCAATGGGGATTGACTCTATCTGACCTGTATGTAACTGCAGTCTGCAATCTTCCACGAACAGAGGGGTGAAGTAACAAGAGTAGACACTGTTTATAAAGAAAATACAAGTATTTTGACAAGCAAGACGTTCCTCCCTTATGCTTGTTATTTTGTGGATGTCAATGGAAGTCATGAACTTTCTTTTTTCTCTCTCTCTTTCTTTTCCTTTCTTCTTGCATTAGAGTTCTGTGTTATAACACCATCAATTCTTATCAACTGATCTTCACTACTACACCAAGTTTAATGGAGGCGGGTGTTTTTTTGTTTATGGAGGCAGGCATTGCAACCACCTCTATTCAAATGTCTCCATTAATGTGGATTAACGGAGGCGGTTCGGTTAATCTATTAACAGAGGCGGACGTCCGAAGGTTCCTGCCTCCGTTAATCCCATTAACCGAGGCAGGCATCTTAACATGCCCTACCTCCATTCAAAGGTTCCGTTAATGCGGATTAACGAGGCGGTTCAGTTAATCTATTAACGGAGACGGACGTCCATTAATCCTATTAACCGAAGCGGACGTCTTAACATGCCCGCCTCCGTTAATGTTCTCTAGAAAACTAAAAAAAACAAAAAAAAAACCCTATGATTTTGCAGAGTCAAACCCACCACCTAGCATTCAACACTACCACGTCTCTACCACTGCACCACACACTCATTCATATCTATATATAATATGCTATCTTTTATATCAATATTTCATAATTTAATATTAGATGTTTTAGCTACTAAATGAACCCAAATAAAAAAAATTAACTATAAAGTTTTAAATCTTGTCAGGTATTACAACTTTGGTATATGATGTATCTCCGTCAGAGATATTCAAAAAATTGAGTCTCACAGCATGTGAATTTCAAACACATATTTAAGACTCTAGATGACTTTAAATAAAAAAACTTGTCAATATTAAACCCGGCCATTAGAACTTTGGTATTAACTATGTGAACATTTGAGATCATTTAGGAATTCTAAATTTTAAATTTCAAAATCTATAAATTTTGAACACATATTTGGGACTATAAACATCTTCAAATTAAAAAAAATCAACTACAGAGTTGTAGATTCTATTGAGAACTATAACTTTTGTATAGACCGTGTCAACACCGAGATCTTTTGATAATTTTAAATTTTAAATTTCTAAATCTGTGTACTTACATCAATATTGATATAATGTTTGTATTCATCCTAGTTCATATGAAAAAAATTATGAATTACACCCTGTTCACTTGAACTTATCAGCCATAGTACAGGGTTTTTCTCTCACAACAAAACAACCTCTGCTGGCTTAGCAGCCGCACAAACCATCAACCGAAGAGCATAATTTTTTATTGCAATCATTAACCGATGTGAACATCTTATGCTTAGAACGATCGCGTCCAAAAAATAATCGATTAAAGGAGGCAAATGACTTAAGTTGTCCACCTCCGTTAATCTAGCATTAACAGAGACGGACTCCTAATGCTACTACCTCCGTTAAACATTAACCGAGGCGGGCGCTTGGCCCGTGGCCCTGCCACCGATTAACGGAGGCAGTCGCCTAGCCCGGCCGTCTCGGATAATAAAATAGCACTGTCTCACAAAATCTTTTCTGTAGCAGTGCTTCTGTGTGCACTATATTATAATTAGATTTTCAAAGATGGCTCCTAAAATACGGACACTATGGCCCCGTTCGCGTGCCCTTAAACCCGGTTTGATCCGCTTATTTTTTCATCCGGAACAGTGTTTTTCTCTCACAAATTCCTCCAGCATTCCTCCAAACCATCCAAATTTCTCCAGAATTCAGACAAGCGAACAGACCCTATATTCTTTGAGTGGTCTAATAACTGATTACGAGAACCAATTTGTATTAAAAACAATCCACTCCAGCTATTTGTTTACAACATAACATTAATATGTAATGTAAATATGTAATAATGCAAATTGGGATGGACTCAAGTGGTACTGGTAGCAGCAATACATCATTGACCCAAGAACTTCTGTACATGAGTTCTCACATACTTTTACCATATGAAATGCTCCTGCACAGGTTTCAACTACTTCGGTATCTCTTAATTATACTGGCACAATTCATTGCGATCTCTTAATTATATTGGTACAACTCATAAAGGGCGCGGAAATGGTTTTCTGGTTAATATTAATCTGGTGTCATAAATATTGATGTTTTTAATATATATTTTGTTTGATCTATCAAATCGTTTGACTTAAGAATTCTAATATGATTTAATCTAGGACATAGAAATACTATTTATGATAATAAAGTTATTATTATGACAATAAAATTTGATTATAAATTAGTAACTTTCTATTTCTATAGGATCTGTTTGACCAGCTCTAGCTCTAGAAAATCCTAGAGCTAGATCTCTACAAACAGGGCTATAGTCAAGAATTGTTGACTACTACTATATTATTGATTAATAAAAATTGTAAAGTTTGAAAAGTACGTGAGTAAAAACAGCAACAACAAAAAAAAAACTGGATTTTAGTGAAAAATGAGTAACTACGAAGAATTTTGGTTATTCGTGTGAAAAGTTACACCCAACCTGAGATGCTACCGCAAAGTCCAAGGAGTAATCCTTAAATGCTTAAAGATGACATATTGCTAGGCGAATTGCCGCTTTCTTACCGGGCAAGTTTCGGCGACTAAGGGTGGTTGGATTAGGGGCTAAAATTCAGGAGGTGTCGCATGAGGATGTCGTATGAGATGTTTGAATACTAATAAAAAAATAAATTATAGAATTTGTCAGTAATCCGTTATTAACATATATTTACTGTAGCACCATATTGTCAAATCATAGACTAATTAGGATTAAAAGATTGGTCTCGTAAATTAGTCACAAACTGTGCAATTAGTTTCGTAATTAGTCTATATTTAATACTCCACGCATATGTCAAAAATCCGATGGGACAACGACTAAAGTTTAGAAGAAGAAACCAAACACCCCACGGCACAAATTGAAGGCCCACCAACAGGAGCATGAGCTGAAGCTGCAACAATTTTGCTATAATTTCATACCCAGACGATTTCTCGTTTGTTTGTTACAAACATTCATCAGATTGTTGTCCACAGAAAGATGTTGCATAACGACATGCACAGAAACTACGCCTGTAGAATTAGGATCAATCCATCCAGCACACACAAGAACGATGCAAACTATATATAATATATTACCCAGTCAAGCACAATTTAGCAGCAGCAGCACTGTACTAAGCATATGTAGCAGCAAACAACTACTATGAACGAAGTATATATATAATATATAAGCCCTTATTACTTGATCGCCTACACGTAATAGAGATTTGCAACCACGTCTCCCTCCAGAGCCTCCATGGATGGATGGCCGGCGGCTTCAGCGTGGGTATGCGGCAATCTCGACGCCCTTGCTGCCGAGCGCCGAAGACGGAGGCGCCTCGTAGGCGCTGAAGAGGCGGTACGAGGAGATGAGGGAGAGGAGGATGAAACAGAGCACGGTGCCGAAGGTGATGGCGACAGAGGTGCGCGCCTGACGGCAGAAGCTGCCGAAAACGCCACACGCCTCGCTCCACGTCACGTCCTTGTCGCCGTTGTAGGCGAGGTACAGCAGCTCCGCCGCCGCCGCACCTGCCGCTAGGATCAGGTACGTGAACACCTGCAGGATAAACATGCCATGGATCAATCTCACTCTCTCACCAGTATTATGGTCATCGAGTCCTCTTTTGCAGGGGTCTCAAAGCAAGCACAGGATCTGACAGCATTCACTGCTGAAATTATGAAATTAACAGCAGGCATGATGGACTGAATCAAGTTGCAGTTATTTGCGTAATGGATGCTTCTTGCTTGAAACACTGAGGCACAAAAAAATGGATGTAAACAGAAATCAAACAAATCCAGCGCTTAATTAAGCTGTCATACAGTCTCTGCCAAAGCTGATTTCTGTCTGATGTGTTAATTTGTTTGTTCAGGCACGAGTTTCGCATGAGTTCTGTAGAAGGAACAGATCCTCTAAAATCCCCTCGCACGATGCACCTCTTTCCAGAGTCCAAGAGAGCGGAAACTACAGCCGAATGTAACACATAATCTTGATGGAAGGAGAGCATCAACATCATCAAAGTAATCAGTCTTGATTATTGCAGGAGTAAGTCACAACAACAAGAATATACCAAGAACATGAAGAATAAATTTTTGTACCATTATATTACTCATAAAATTCGTCACGTGATGTTGGCAGAAAAAGAACAAGAAAAAAGACATTCTTCGAAGCATTCTCAACATGCTACTACAACCGTGAGAAAATTAAAGTGTGAGTAGAGTAGAGATGGAAGGCAAGAACGGACCTGGTCGAGGAGGAAGACGACCCAGGAGCGCGACACGGTGGCGGGCCTCGGCACGGCCGTGTAGAACGCGGACACCAGAGAGTAGGCGGCGCAGAGGCCGTTGGCGTAGACGAGGTACTTGAAGCCCCCCAGGTCGGAGTAGGCGACGGTGCCGTACTCGTTGCTCTGCTGGTCACGGAGCATGACGGTCATGGCGGCCACGCACAGCCCCAGCGGGGCCGCGCGCAGGAGAGTCTCAAAGGGCCGCACCCGCGCCGCCGCCGCCTCCCCCGCCGGCGCTGCGTCCGCCGCCCCGGCTCCTCCGAGTCCGCCCACGGCCGCCGCCTTCTCCTCCGCCATCTTGGACATCTTTGTATCTCTTCTGCCTTTTCTCTCTACTAGGAAGAAGACGAGTGCAGACAGGCGCGCGGTCCAGTTCTCTCGTCTGCTAGCAAATTGGGAGGGGAGATAGTGTAGTGCATTTAAGGAGGGAGGAGTAGGGGAGATGGTTGGAGCGCAGTGAGGGGCTTGAATGCGAGGAGTTAATGGGGCGCGCGGTTGGCAGGGCCGTATGGGGGCGATGGATGGATGGATTCCGTTGATCCCTATGCGATTGGTGGCACGGCGCCCGGCCACGCCGTGCGTGCGTCGCGTTCTTGCTGCCTTGCACGCCGCGCCTACCCGTCGGCATTGGCCGCGGCCGCGTATGCCGCATGCGCCCGACGTGCGCGGCTGGGCTGTGCTGTGCCGCGTGCTCGCCTGGCGGCCTGGGTCTGCTGGGGCCGGTCTAGTGCGTGGGAAACGGTCATTCTAAACTTGTGCTCGTTGCATGCTGTCACTGATTTTAGGTCACGTTCGTTTTTTTTTATAATTCTTGTTTTTTTTAGTTAAAATAGTGTTTTTTTCGTAACAAATCAGCTGAAACAGTATTTCGACTTATTTTTTGAGCAAAACGAACAGGACCTTAATACTTATATTTATCAAGTGATGCTTCCGTTTGAACTTTGGTCGACATCTCACCGTCTGCATCCATCTGCGGGCGTGTTTGGTACCAATTAAAATGGGATTCGAAGTCAAATCAATTGAGAATCACACCCAAACGACTTCGATTTTTTCTCAATTATTTCCATCGCAGCGGTGGTAACAATCTGCATTTCAACTGGAAAGTTTCCTCCACCGCGGGCAGATTTCCATCCCCTACCCTTCGTCCATTCGCCATCCTTGCTCCTGCACCAGGTTTGACATGAATCAGAAAAGCCGGAGGCGGCGGCGCCAGGCCAGTACGGAGCACGGGAGGTAGCGGTGGTAGCTCACGCTGGAGATCCGTCTGGCTCTGTCGGAGGGCTCCCTTGTCTACCCTCGCGCTGGGGTTCGGTTGGAGTTTACAGCGTGGGAGGCCTGCCCTCTCGCCAGAGATCTCGCGGGCTTGGTCCGAGGCTCCCTCGGCTGCCCTCGCCCTTGCGCCGGAGATCCGCTGGCTCGGTCGAAGGCTTCCTCGGTCACCTTGCGCTGGGGCGGCGTGGTGGCAGTCCATCCTTGCGCTGACATCTCGCGGGCTTGAGACTCCCTCGGAGAGACGGCAGTTTGGATAGGGCCATTGAGGAAGAAGGACATATAAGTCTTTTTACGCTATCTAAGTACCATAATATTCAGCATTGCCAAACACCCTTGATTTGTTTGTACCAGAGATTTTTTAGACCGCGACTTATAAAAGAATCATGATTGAATTTTAATCGATTATAATATAAGCTGTCCAAACACGCTCTACACTTGGCCACTGCATGCCCACTGGGTCACAGGGATGTATACCACCTGTACGTATGCGCTGATGAGTATTGGTTATTCCAAATTTCCACTGATCAAACTAGTATACGTAATTGATTCTACATTATTCGTGACTCGGTTTTGCTAGTTATTCTTACCTCCATCAACCTTGGATGTCTGGGCTTATTTTCGTTTGACAAAGCCAAATGTGGTACCTAAAATTAATTAAAATGTTGACATATTTCATGAATGAGAATTTGTGTCAGTCATTTTCAAAAATGGTTTCAGAAGATGTTGAATTGTTAAAATTTGCAGGAAATGGTGAAATAAATTAACAATGTAAAAATATACATTTCAAGACTTTTTGTACTAGTAATAGGATTATACTCATATTCTGTATGTTCTAAAATATAAGTGTATCAGTATCTGAATGAACTAAATTACTTTCATTATATACTCTCTCTGTTTTTATTTACATGACGTATCAGTTTTGTCCTAAATCCAAAATTTGTATCTTTGACCATTAATTTTAAAAAAAAAAAGGTTTATAACATAAGATTTATAATTTTAGATTTACTAAGAGAATTGTTTCGACACTAGTACAGAAAAAGTTTTTTAGAGACGGTTAAAATCGGTTTTCAGAGAAGGTTTGAAAAACACCACCGATTGTAAAAATAAGTTATTTCAGAGACGGTTTTAAAACCGCCTCTAAAAATCGATTGTTCAGAGACGGTTGACTTAAGTCGACCATCCCTAAAAATAACCTTCAAATTTTTAGATTTTTTAAAAAGTCATTTAGAGTCTAATAAAAATAAGAAAAAACATTTTTATTGTAGCCCGAATAGTTAAAGATCAGCCATAGCTCACAAGATTTATTTTTCACTTGTCTTGAATAAGTGCAGGACACTAGGATTTAAACCCACAACCTCTTCCTCGCGTGTTTCATTCCCTACCATCACACCACACAATCGCTTGTGACTAGTTATACGATGCTATCTATTTTGTACTAATATGTACGAATCTTGTAATCAATATTTCAACTCATAAACAATCTTAAATAAGAAAACTTTCAACTACAAAGTTTTAGATCTCATCGAGCACTACGACTTTTATATAATACATTTCTCCATCCAAGGTCATTAGAAAAATTCAAAAATTTAAAATTCAGAATCTAAGACTTAGGGCGTGTTTGGCATGGCTCTAGAGCTGAACTCCAGCGACTCCAGCCAATTTTTCAGCCAAACACCCTAGCTCTAAAATTCCATGAAGCTACCAACTCCATGGTGCTGTAGTGCAAATGGAGGTGGAGTTTTGGAGCACCTCTTTTGCAGCTCCAAAACCATCCAATATGAATCTCCTCGTGGAGTTGGTGGGTAATTACCCACCAATGTCACTGGTTACACAGAAAACGGTTCATTCTTTCTATTCTCCGTCTCCTTCTCGACGCAACCCCTGCCTCATCCCGCCACTGCCGACTTGCCACCATTCACACTCCCCAGATGGCCGGAGGGCGCATCCCCACCGCCACCACCACCTTCCCCGTCTGTGCCGCCCCATGCGATGCCACCGCCGTCGTGCGTGCAGGCCGGCCTATTCTCACTCCACCATCCGCCACTGCTCCCACCTCCCCATCATCCCCCACCCTAGGGGCTCCAATCCACAGTAGGGCGGCGCCACCAGCCCGACCTCCGTGGAGCCCGTCGTGCAGCCTCCAACCAAGTCGCCTGCGCCACCCCACGTAGGTTGCTTCTATCCTTCCGCGAGTGTGCGGTGCGGCCGGCGAAGGGGCAAGACGCGGCCGGGCGGAGCGGCTTGGGCGCTTAGCGCGGTGCGGTGGATGAAAAGGCAGCGCGATCGTCGGTCGGGGGAGCGGCTTGGCCCAACGCCCACGACGGCCAAGCACTGGCCTCAAGACCCAGCCGTGCGCCGCTGCTTGGTCACCTGCAGCCGCTGGGAGCGAGGTGCGGCCCGTGCCGGCCGCCGCTTACCCGTGCCGCCACAGCCCCGTCCTGCTCTCATCCCAGCCACCGCTGACCCGCGCCACCACAACCTCGTCCTGCTCAGACGGCCAGCACTGCCACGTCTCGTGCGAAGCTCCACCAGGTTCAAGCGCAACCGACATTCTGATGAAGCAGAAGATAGGGTGGAGAGGCTGACATGTGGGGGCGTGAGTTGGGGGTAACAATGGCAATTCATCCTAAAAGTTGTCTTTTTGGAGCTGACGGTACCCTCCCAGCCAAACACCTCCATCAGATAGTTCCAACTCCACCCAGAGCTGGCTCCACCTGGAGTTCTGGAGTGGAGTAGCTCCACCCAAAGTTGGAGCCATGCCAAACACGCCTTTAATTTATATATTTGGAACATGAAATGATCTCAAACAAAATTTTTATCAACTATAAAGTTTTAGATCTCGTTGAGCTATATAATTTTGATATAAATTTTGTCTTCATCTAACTTCATTTAGAAAATATATGAATTTATTTGTACTGCAGCTATTTTTAAGGATGATTGACTTAGTCGACCGCCGTTGAAAATTAATTTTTAGGGACGGTGGAATTAATAAAATCGTCTATAAAAATCACTCATTTTCAGAGATGGTCGACATAAATAACCATTCTTGAAAATAGTATTTTCAGAGGCGGTTCTCTTAATGGAACCGCCCCTACAAACGGATACATTTTTTAGAGACGGATTTCTTAATGGAACCGTCCCTGAAAATAGATTTTTCATCGACGGTCATAGAGCTACAATGCTCTCAGGCGAGGTTAGAGGCGGTATGCTAGTTTAACCGCCTCTGATAGAAAAGAAAGGCATCCCTAAAAATCTTTTTTTGTAATAGTGCGATAATATATATAATTTATATGTTGTGAAACTATTATGTTTTTTTTAAAATCAATGGTAAAAGATAGTAATATTTGACTTAGGACAAAGCTAACGTGGCATGTAAAATATAATAGAGGGGGTACATAATGAAATATAACTTAATAGTGTATTTGATAATCATATGTTATTATGTATGTATTTCTTTAAACTTGAAGAAAAATAGAAAAAACTTGATTTATGATAAAAATGGAAATGAAAACTACCTATATATCTATATCTATACCTAATAATAAATGGGTAAAATTTCAGGTCATTTTTTTATCCATCCATTTTTTCGTCAATCTCTCCCTAACTATAGGTAATCGAGAATTTCTTTCGTCTAGACTTATATGACCCTAGATAGTTAGGACAAATAGACTTTCAGAGCTGGAATAAACTGAACAGGAATATGAATCCTAATTCAAATAGAAAAATAAATTAGACAATTCTTTTTTTTTCCACGTGAACGTTCCAATTTTTGTTAACTGCAAGAAAGTTGTCCGTCACGCTCACGGTACCGTACGTGAGTCATCATCCATATTGCACAAGGCTACTTTTTGAGATAGACTAGATATCTAGAATTTTAATCAAATAGATCTCTTTGATATTAAGTAAACTAGATATAGGAATCCTAACTTAAACTCGGCTTGATCCGTTTATTTTTTTATCTAGAACAATATTTTTTTTTTCACAAATTCCTCCAGCATTCCTTCAAACCATCCAGATTCCTCCAGAATTCAGAC